AATCCCAACTGGCGGGAGGCAGACCAGTTGGCTATTTACAAGTGTGACCGAGGAGTTGAACTAGGGTCTACCGAGAAACAACTTCAGCTTAGTGGTCAGAGCGGGACTTGAACCTGCGACCTGCGGATTTCGAGTCCGGCGCCCTAACCACTCGGTCATGCTGCCTCCAACGTGATGTTTTGTGATCGAGCAGCAGCTACTTCAGTGATCAGACTGTAACAGCAACTCCTTCTCTTTCTCTTGGAACCGGATAGCCCAGCGGAAACCGAAGGCGAGCCACCGTAGGCCACCTCACCTCCGCCACGTTTCGTCCAGAACATGCTTCTAGCCGTTTCCTGTGCCAAGGCAACGCGTTGCAAGACATTCAATTGACCGTTGGAGACGAGAATAACTCCTGTCTCGGTGGCAGTCTAAGTTTTTAAGCTAGCATTTTTTCTCTCGTATTTCTTCCTTATTCGTAGACTTTTCGTCGGGGAAAACGATGAACTATTATGAACTTTTCAGAATTTCTCAAATAATGATTTCGATCTTTTTGAAATGTTGTGTCAGAAGTCCAGTTTTGTACATAGCCGGGCTCATATGCGTATGCGTAAGTCATCAACCCATTACAAGCTGATTGCAAGTTCACCTCCTGGCTTGTTTCAAGTTTTTCGTTGATGTAAATCGACAGCTCTAGAGTGCGAATCTCGCGAAAGAGAAAAAGTGCATTAAACTCGTAGAATTCTGCCAATAAATGTTTATTTACTATTATGCCATGGAACCCCAGAACGTGTTTTACCCCTGTCACAAGAAAAACGATAAATTAAATAGAGGATGGGAGCTCGTGGAATGGATCGACTTCATCTCAGCAGATTCTGAATTCAGTTTTTCATGACTGATTCTACTCATTGTTATTGTCATCTGAAGCTGCGTACCATCAGTTGTGCGGGCTCTCATACGTTTTTTCAACTCAAAAACGCGTCGTAGTTTTATTTCCCCGTACGCAAAAATTGTGCGCACCAAGTCATAGAAAGGACATATTTGCACTTGTACAAAAACATAAGGGGACTTGAGATTCGAGTGCGAGAACGATTTTTCATTTCTAGTTCGCAGGCTTCACATTATCATGAAACATACCCAACTCATCCCATGAGCCCAGGCCCCCTCTCCTTGACCTAAAACCGACAGGAAAAGCGAGGGCTCTGGAAACGTCACTGTTTTGACAATCGATAATCGTTCTCGTACTGAATCTCGTAGCACAATCTTAAGGTCCTTAATTAATCAGTATTGTGTTCCAAAAGCAGCTTTTTACTTTGTGCGGGTAATTCTGATAATACCTGAGTTATGATTATGAAGCCAACTGTTGCATTATTGATTCAAGCTTCTGACTAGGACTGCTAAAACTAAATGCGAAAAAGTTTTACTTTTAATATCGACCTGGCACCTGTGAAGCTTCATATGGCTTTTTGTTTGATTATCGTTATTGTAGATTTTCCAAATTGCTCTTGACGATTCCATATTCAAATTGTGAGATTGTTTTAATCAGGAGGAGGTCCAATACCAATTTCAATTTTGAGATGAATTGTCGGTGCACTCTGGCTGCGATACAAGAACACTGTTTGTGTTACACTGTTTTGCATAAGAACAAACCTTAAGCCTCCTGCCTTAAGCGTGGAGTGAGGGTTCTACGATTTGGTCAAATAATCTAGCCACCTATTCCCCTAGGCACATTTTGAATACATTCAATAACTGCGTGATTATAATGTTACCCGCCTAAAAGTCGGGAATATTCAACTTAACAGGGTTCCTCGAAACACAAATTTGCTGATTTTAAAATGGCTTAAAATGACTTCAGTCTAAAAAAACCCACAAGGGCACGGTCTCCGAGTCAAACTATTCGGTTTTGTCAAATATTGGAATTATTTTCTTCAAAATTAACGTTGCACCAGCTGCAGGCGAGGTGTACTGCAGGGAAGAATTCATTAGCGATGAAAATTACGAACTGCTAACAGCTTAAAAGCTTCATTGGCACAAGTCATTTACTAAAACAAACAAGTTTTCACAAGCGCTACTCTACTCACAAGACGATGATGTATCCAGTACTTGTTTTGCTGTTTTGGCTGAGTTTTATTAACCAGAGCGTTTCAGGACAAGCTGGGAACACAACAAGGTCAGACTATATCTAGATAGCTTTCTAGTTTAATCTGAAAAACGATAATTGGGGTATTCAAATTGCTATTTGTAAATAGCAGTTTGCGTTAGACATGTCCGAAATAAATCATATCCGTTGGTATTAGTGATAAGTGATAAGTGTATACTGTCTTCAAGCCTTGTATTATCTTCATTAATTGCGGCTTCCTGAAGCTCTCAACATGACTGCCGATTTTAAACATGTTATCGCAAATTTATGTTTTCAATGTTACAGTCAGGTTATGGTACACTCAATTTTAAAAGTATCCCCGAAAAAACAAATGCGGCGCTTAAAACTGTCTCTAATAGAATTGTTATAAGTATCACCGCCAAATGAGGCCTTGAAATTTAGTAATTGACGGCTCTTTAAAACCTGTAAAATATTTTTCTAATACTTCAGGGAGAAAGTGTTGTACGCATGGATTTTAAAGATAGTATTTTCGAAACTTTTTGTGTCAGTCGACGCGCTAACATTTCGATATGGAACTCGACTGATACTTCTTCGTGCGAGTCAATTTTTGTTGAAAACACGGAAAGAATAAATTCTAAAAACTGACTAGAGTTTAGATTTCATTGCCTATTCGAAAGGCTTTCTTCTAACAGGTGAATCTGAATTTTAGCCAAGTTTTTTTTCTGGTCGACTTCTCTTACTTCCGAAAGCAAAACAATTCCAGCAGAGCAGGCGCTGGCCACATATGATGGTATAGAACCGCTAGCTGTTAGATTGAGGAAATTATATGGACGTTAATATTAATACTACACAGTGAAGGAAAAGATTTCAATCGAAATCCGAATTGAACGCTAAAACCCCATTGAGCCAAAGTAACCCACTCACCAGGGGGGCGGCATTGTCGTGAAACTTCCCAACCAACATTAGGTTCCAGCTGGGTTACCCTGTCCAAATGTATATGGATTACTGACAAAGCTTTTCTTCTTATTAAACGATTAGACTTTAATGCAACCTCGATTCAAACGCGAAGTAAGAACGTGACGGATTTTAAGTTTTATTAAAATTATAGAAGTATTTTATTAGAATTTTAAATTATTAAAATTGTAGAATTGTAGAATTGTAGAACTGTAGAATTGTAGAACTCTAGAATTGTAGAATTGTAGAATTGTAGAATTGTAAAATTGTTAGAATTGTAGAATTATCATATTACTACTGTGCATATTTCTGTTTTTAGTGTAAACACGACTCCACAAGCAAACTTATTGCTTTAAACTAAATTGTGTGTAAATAAAGGATTGCTGTTGTTTTTGTTGTCGGCTTGCTCCGTCAAGTGGCCTCGTTCTCTTTTTGAACATTTATGGAACGAGACGGAGTCGAGGTCCAAAAACACGTAAAAAAGAACAAGGCAATTATACAACCATCCTGACCGAACAAACTTAGTCAATAAAGGATAAAGAACAAAATTTTCTTGCGGGACACAACGTGAAATCCCGATCTGACAAGATAACGCCATCTTGTCCGCTCACTACAGAGCTAGCTATGTAATAATTTGAATTAGAGCGGCTTTCAATGGAGTGTCGAAAGTAATCAGGCAATTACTTTGGTGTTGGTTTTGGTTTCGGTTTTGTTACGGTTTGGGATTGGCTGAGTAGTCTAATTGGTAAGTAACTGGTTTGGTTTGGTTTTACGACACTCAATTGAAATTCGCCCTATTATAGAGGTAACGACTATTACTTTTATCATTATCTTGTAAAAATCTATAAGTAAAAAATAAGTGGAACATTTCAGAAATGACACAGGCATGCTAACATCAAAAGCGGCCGCTGACACCACTCGCATCCTGGGAAAGTTGCTTGATGGTTACGATAAGAGGTTAAGGCCGGATTTTGGAGGTAAAGTTGTTTTCAACCATAATTTTCAAGTTTGAAAGTTAAATAAGCTTTCAAAAAGTAGAGCCTGCAATAATCTAAAAGGCCCAGGTTTGATTTCAGTCTGGTGCCATATGCGGGTTCAGTTTGTCGTTGGCTCTCGCCTTGCGCTGAGGGTTTTTCTCCGGGTTCTCCGCTTTTCCTCCCTCCGCAAAAACCAACATCTCCAAATTCCAAATCGACCAGGATGGAGGACCCAATGAAAACCAGCTATAGCTGATGTGGCTTCCTCTCTAAATATTGTAATTTATTTATTTTAGTAGGATTAATTAATTCTCTTAAGTTTGGCGTCCCAGATCAGTTTATAAACTGTATTTTACTGTGGCTCCTGATTTTACTGATATATTTTATCGCTTTAGTGATATTTATATAGATCTTTACAACACTATCTACATGTTTCTGCCGAGTTTGATTCACTATAGCTAAGATTTGTAGGATTTACATTCTCGTCCAAACCAGGCAGGTTCACAAGCATGCGACTCCAAATCTGGTCTCCAATCTGGTCAACGTTACCCCAGGTCCAGAGGTTTTCGCTGATATTTTGTCGCGTTTCTCTTATTCACATCAGGAGAAGAATGAAATTGAGAAAGACGACCTCTAGGACCAGGGTGGATCTACATGACTTTTTATGTCCTTTATTGCGAATTTCGTCCATGAATTGTAAAGCAAACGAATGGCTCTGATCTTATCTCTCAGTCACGGTATTTTGAGTTATTTTGGCCACATACAAAATTACATTTAAATGGTAGGAAACCTGAAAATAACAGTTTAATAAGATTGAAAAACACCAAAGAGATAATGATAAACCATAAAGGAACAAGGATGGCTAAGGATGGAGAAGATTAACGCGGATTACAAACGACGAATTTGAAAAATTGAGGCTAAACTTTTCAAGATGCGCAAACCGTGACTGAGCTCCTTTAGGATGTCCATAAAACTACGTACTATAACCTAGCAGGAAAGCTAACATCTTAGTAGCCCGGCGGAGGGGGGGGTGGTGGTACATCCAGAATAATTGGTTGGGGATGTACGGCCCGCTTCCCAAATTTATGACCAAAACCTGCGATTTTCCCAAAAATTCGATACCCTATTTATAACCGTTGCGGCTGGCACGGTTGCCCTATAAACATAATTGATGTAGGGCTTTTGTTGATAGTCCTATGGATTAAGTAGCTTCCTCTGAAAAACATACCAAATTCAAGACTAGAGGACAAAGCCATACCCTATTTATGACCAAAACGGCCGAAAAACCCTACCCTTTTGGGCCCCACATACCTATAGAGCCCACATAAGGGAGTAATGCCCTCTCCCGGGCTTAGTAGTTGTCGAGGGACAAATGAAACTGGGGCTAATGCCTCTTGTGTCTCGAACACTCGTTAACAGCAGCTTTGTATAAATAAAATACTTGTAAGACGTTGTTTTAAAGTCTTTTAAGGTGACTAGCAACAATTTCCAGCACATTTGTATGATACCATCATTGTTCAGGATCATATGACAAGGAGTGGTAGTAGATATATTAAGTGATGAGAGAGAGCTGGAAACCGCTGTCAGCCTCCTTTTAAATTCGTTACATATTTTCCTTGTGTTTTCAGGATCCCGGTGTAAAGTCAACATTTCCATACACGTGTTGTCAATGGTTCCTATCAAAGAAATTGACATGGTAAGTGCATCACGTGACAAATGTTGTCTTGTTGCCAGGCTCTCTCCTCGGGCCCATGCTTCTCCTGCTCCAAAATGACCGAGATTGGAATTTTTAAAATGGAGACCACAGTGCATGCAGACGCACCAAAATGATAGGTTAGAAACTACACGCTTCTTTGTAATAACGTATTCAGAGAAACCATTTTCGGAAATCAATCTAACGTGATCCATTCCGTTGTTATTTTCGTTTTGAATACAGGAAGTAACTGTCGTGATGTTCTTTCGTCAACACTGGATAGACACGCGTCTGGCGTATGGACCTTCTCTTGGAATTCAGAAAATAAAGCTGTTGGGGAACATTGTCGACCAAGTGTGGCTGCCAGACATATATTTTGTGAATGATTTGAGCGACAAAACGACTTGTGGGGATTTTCTGTTTGAGGTCACTCAGGAAGGCATTATCACACACAGTTGCAGGTCTTTTAACGTTTGTTTTTGCTTCGGAATGATGTTCTCGCGTAGGACTTAAGCTTGTTGCTTTTCACAATCATCTTTGTTTTTCTTTCCAAATTTTCAGGAGGAAACTTCGTTTATACTGTCCGATGAATCTGCGAAAATTTCCAATGGACGAACAAGTCTGTGATATGGCTTTTGAAAGTTGTGAGTATAGAATCAAACTGGTCCTTACTTCTTATTTCTGTTTATGACGGTGTTGTATTCTGTTTACTTAAGTACTGATTTTGAAAATGTCTCGAAATGATTCGCTGATGCCTTGAAACTCTGCGGTTGTACAACGGTGGGTTCGCAAAAGGAAACATTTATGTTTGTGGTGGACTCCAAAGCGATATAACTGGGCTGTGACTGTATCTAAGTGACATGTCGGTAAGCAAAGGTTTACCAGATATCTAGCCTCTGTCTGGCTAATTCTAACTTGTTGTGATCTTTTTTCAGTTTCTTACACTATGGATGATATTATCTTGGACTGGCTTTCTGATAAAAAAGGGTCCCTGCGTGTGTCACATGACCTGAAGATCCCACAGTATACTCTAGTTGGCTGGGAACAAACCTCACAAGTTCAAGAGTATAGCACAGGTACATTGCATTACTTCAAGTGGTGTTCAATGTGATGAAATACAATGAATATTTTGCGGGAAATTTCCAGTGGATTTTCGGATTTTTGAACTCCTTTTCTGTCCTGAATAACTCTTCTTCCCATATAATGTAATTGTATATAATTTTATAATTGTATATTGTTGTTCACCGAAAAATGTAAACATGTACAGTGCGGTGTGCTTCACTGTGAAACGTACAACAAATCTACAATCTGTAATTTCTACTTGCCTATTTGACAGAATCTTCTCAAAGTAAAATTTTGAGGTTCCAGAAAGAAAATAAGTTGTTTTAATTGAAGCTTTAGTAACGACAATCCACTCATTTTATTCCTCAGGTAATTTCAGTTCATTGTCAACAAAATTTCTTCTACAAAGACAACTCGGTTATTACGTTCTTCAAGATTTCATTCCAACTATTCTCATTGTGGCTCTAAGCTGGGTAGGTTTCTGGATAGATGAGCGTTCTGTGCCCGCCCGAGTCTCTCTCGGTATCACCACAGTCCTAGCCATAACAACACTCATGTTTGGCATCCAGTCCTCTTTACCGAGAGTTGGTCACGTGAAAGCGATTGACGTCTACCTGTTGGGTAATTTTCTATTTGTGTTTGCTGCCCTGGTTGAATTCGCCTTCATTTGTTCCTGTACAAAAGTATTTTCGCTAAACAAGGATGAAATATCTAATGAAAAACCCTTCCACTCGTCTGTGAGTCCGTCTGCGCATGCGGCATTCGAGGAAAGAGATAAAACGGAAACAGGTTGCAAGGAGACTGGGATTCTACAACGAGTCTTAAATGAAACCAAACAGGACGAGCTTCAGGTAAGAATTTTTCTTACGGCGTTTTCCAAAATGACAGTCAGATAGAGGTTAGCCTAAATAAGAGAGAACTTTTGGCGGGGGCACTCCTATTAGCTCACCGAATTTGAGACAAGTGGACATCCTCGTTCCCAAGTCGGGCTTTTCCCTAAGTAGGTTGGCAAGGAGGCAGAAGAGTTCTTCGGCTTTATGGGTATTGACTTTCAATTTTCACCCAACCAAGTAATTAATTTTTCTGTGTAACTCCTGCTGAGACTTATATCATCACGAAAAAAAAGTAAAAAGCATGTGATTGGCTTTGGTTTCAGGTCGCTTAACTTCAGTAATGTATTTTACTTTAGTAGTATACACGACCCCACAAGCTTTGTAGCTTTAACTCTTATCGTGTCAAAATAAAGGTTTTAAGTTATGTTATGTTATGTTAACGTCGATCTTCCCGCGTCAACAGAGGTTTACTCAAGCCTCAGCATTTCCCCTGTCTTCTCATTTCTAACTTTCTGTTTACACCGCTGTTTTGCAGGTAAAGGATTATGAAGATAGAAATTATAATCCGTCCATAAGCTTCGACACTGCATTTCATAAACCTCCAGCCGCCCGGCCCGCGGGATTTTTCAGGAAACCAACGCGTGCCAACTCTGTGAAGCTTCCAAAACGAGGTGCAAACTGCACTAGTCTCCTGCGCGAGCCCAATGTTGTTGATAAACTCAGTAGAAGATTGTTTCCTCTAGCATACGCATTGTACCTTTCAATCTACTTTGCAGTGTACTTCTTTGCAGATATTTGAGATTTAGCTTGTCATTTATCAAGATCTGGACTTGTTAGTCAGTTCGTCATTGAAAGTTAAAGTCGCGTACTTGTTTAAACAAAGTGAAATTTTAATACGCAACGATTTCGATCGGAAGGGAGTGAAGGTGGAGGAAATGGGAGGAAGGGGGTCTTGCCATCGTCTTCATTTGCACTGATCATAGATCCTGCGATGTGGGAAACTTCACAAGAACTTATTATTGCCCCTTGTGTACGTGACCTGTTTCTATTTATTTTTGAAATATGTTACTTTGAAGTTTACTAAACCCTTGGACTTCAGTTTCAAGTACTCTGAATAGGGTAGCGTTTTGTACAAATTCACACTATTATCAAATTCATAGCGTTTGCATCTCTTGCTGGAGTAAAATGCATGCATTTAACTTTCTTTTTGATAATGTTTACTTTCTTCTTGACCCTGAATCGTCCTTTTTGATAGACTTTATTATTAAAACAACGCAGCCAGTCAGTCAGTCAGTCAGTCAGTCAGTCAGTCACTGAGCCAGTCAGTCAGTCAGTCGGCCGGTGGGTTAGTTAGTCAGTCAGTGAGTCAGCCAGTCAGTCAGTGGTTCAGTGAGTCAGTGAGTCAGTGAGTCAGTGAGTCAGTGAGTCAGTGAGTCAGTGAGTCAGTGAGTCAGTGAGTCAGTGAGTCTGTCAGTGAGTCAGTCAGTCAGTGAGTCTGTCAGTGAGTCAGTCAGTCAGTGAGTCACCTAGTCAGTCATTCGTTAGTCGGCAAGTCAGTTTTACCCTTACAATTAAATAAAGAAGACACAAAACAATAATTCTTTTTCAAAGTTCTGTGTTGCCTTTATAAAGTAGCCAGCCCTTTAGCAGAAATTACTTCACACGACAGCTCTGTCAAATTATACAACGAAACCATATCTTTGTATATAATTGTATAATATTAAAAAATGATATAATCCAGTGGCTAATTATGGGTCTTGATATAGTCAGAAGAGACCACATGACCTGAGCTTCATTTGGTTTTGTATCAAGGGTTTATTACATATTCACCTTGCTTTCGTAACAAAATTGGAACAAAA